CGTTGTGATACGACTTCACAGACTGTAGTCTCTTAATCATATTCCTTAGCAACAGTCTGCTCTCCTCTCCTTATTAATAAACTCAGCATTAAAAAGTAGCCCAAAGTAACCATGTCAGATCATTGTAGGAGTAAAAAGCTCAATATTACACAAGATTAAAGGTTGTAATTTGACTTACTTGACCCACCATTTGTATGTGATGTTGTCCTCTGTTGAGCCACATGAAAATGCCAAAGCATTGGTGATTTATTGTCGAGGGCTAAGTGCAGTGGTGAGGTTTCTCCATGTAGATCAGACCATTAAAAGTCAAATCAGACAGAGCTTCCTGCTCTGGCAGATGAAGGAGACCCTGCAGGCAGCTACATTTGATTTATTATCCCAAGATGCTCGCTGGCAATCACATCCGTGGATATTGACCGACCTCTTCACAATGTCTCAGCCACAATAAATAACAGATGGGATCAGATGAAATGCTCGAGGGCCATCCAGCTTCACCGGGACACAAAGCTAAACCCAATGCCAGGTGCTCGACTCCAAAGATTTGCATGATGGCTCTGAAATTATTCAAAAACAAACACACAGAAACACACACACACACACGTATTTTGTGTTTGCAGTGTCCAGTCCAGTTTGGCAGATTAAGTGTTTTTAAGTGAGCATCACAAGGGCTCCTCACAAAGAGACGATTAAAATGTTCCATTGGATTTCGGTATAGGCCTATTGCAGAAAATGATTAAATGTATGATACTTAAACACCTACACGTTGTGTTCAGCAGGATAATCTCCACATAAACCACTTTATGATTTTTGAAGTAAAAACTAACGGCACGGTCACATGACTTCACGTCACCACCGCTAAGCTAAAGGTGGCTAATGTTGGGCTATAAAGGAACAACGGCACGGCCACATGACTTCACGTCACCACCGCTAAAGCTAAAGGTGGCTAATGTTGGGCTATAAAGGAACTACAGCATGGTCACATGACTTCACGTCACCACCGCTAAGCTAAAGGTGGCTAATGTTGGGCTATAAAGGAACTACAGCACGGTCACATGACTTCACGTCACCACCGCTAAGCTCAAGGCGGCTATCTTCAGGCTTATTTTCAGGCTTCTAAACAAAAGAGACTAATTCCTGAACAACTCTTTGGCAGCATGCCGAGTAAAATACCAAATAAGTCATCATATCATACAGAAGCCCTCTGAAGCAAATAAACAAACAAAAAATGGACTAAAAATAGTTTTCTCCCTGTTTCTATGACATCTATCTGTTTTTTGGCTCGTGTGCAGAGGCAGAGTTTCTGGGGGCTAACGTGTGGGAGCGATGTGTGCATGCATGTTGGGTAAGTGTGTGTGTTTACTTCCTTTTTCATATCCGATACACACGCCAACGCTGGCAGCAATGGTTCAAGGTCCAAAGTAATTAAATGTTTCCTCTTCAGACTCTCTCGCCTACAGCTCTGCCTGAAGGCAATACGTTAGGAAGAATAAATATTAATGTACAAACCTGACTAGTGCTGGACTACTCTCATTGATTTTAGAGCAATAAACTGTAATATGCGAATAGAATAGAATATAATCCTTTATTGTCATTATACAGGTACAATGAGATTCGAGCAACTCCGTTTTTAAGGTGCCATCAAGAATACAGAAAAACAAACAAGAGGCGTAAAACATTAAGGAGAAGACAACATACAAACAACAAGCATTCATACTTCAACTTTTGTGTGTGTGTGATTGATTATCCACATTTCACTCATTATCGAGGAACTTTCTTGTTTTATTTTTTTATTTCCGTCACTATAAACTCTTTAAACCAAACATGTTTAGCTGGTTCAAATTGATCTTACTATTTGGACATAGAAGCTTATAAACGTTTCATTGTTTTATATATATATTCACACGATAATTGAATGATTACTTGGATCTAAGGAAGAGGTAGTGGCTATTGGGGATCCTCAGGTATCAACGAAATTCAGCAATCAGACAAATATTTACAAACTGAACATTTAAATATAACAAAAACGGCATATTTTACAAGAAAAAACGATATATTACAGAACTTGAAGTTGTTTAATATCCGTGTAAAGAAACTGAGGATGAAGTCAGCTGATTTAAAGGAAAGTTGAACAGCTGCTCCCTCTGCTGGTGGACTTTAGTTTTTTATGTTGTTATATTCCATGGAATGCTCTTAACATCCCGATAGCAAAGAATATCTGAAGTGCTTTGACAAAATATCCACAAAAAACATTTCATCTGTGGAAGCCGTAGCGCTGTAAAAAGCACGACCAATCATCTGAGCCGGCCCGGCTAAAATAACTGGATGGCCTACCTGCCTGTCAGCCTTCCATCTGTGCACAAACTTATCTCGTGCCCTCATTGGTCATGTGCGCGTTCGTGTGTGTTGGAGGAGGGGCTCTGTAAGGAAGTGGCAGATTTTTTCCGCCTGTGTATTTTCAAATTCTAGCGCACTCGAGCTGGTTTCTCCAAAATTTACCCATCCCACCTTTAACTCTTTGTAAACCATGCTATATATTACGAAATACATAAATGCCAACATTTTTTAATAAGCTCAAAATGAGCTAATAGCTAAATCTGGCATAAATCCTCTC